CCACGCCAGTGTAGTAGCCACGGTCGTCCGCAGGCCACGAAGTGAAGTGTCCGAACGTCATAGGGCGGGAAGCTGGGTGTGGGTGGTGGCGAAGAGTCGTGTGGATATTTGGTAGAGCTTGCACTGCCCCCCCACAAAGTGGGGGTATTGGCTGGCGTCGCATGAAAACCCTGGCACTGGTGAGAACACTGAGCGTTCGGGTAAAGTGATTGTTGTTGTTGTTGTTGTTGAACTCTAATTACTGAAGAATAATTATTGTTGATCCCCCCCCTCCGGCGGACATTGTATTTTTCAATTGAAGTGCCCCTTCCGGGGCTCGCACCTTGTTTTTTATCAGGGAAAGTCGCGGGCATCAAACTGTGTTGTTGGCCCCCCGGACAACAACAACAACGGCTCCCGCCTGATACTTCCTCCACATTTACTCAGGATCCCCGCCCCCGCCTGGGACTTCCTCGCAGTTTACTCAGGCGGAGGCGCTCCCGCCTGAGACTTCCTCGCAAATTACTCCGGACCCCCGCCCCCGCTTGGGACTTCCGTGCAGTTTACTCAGGCGGAGGCGCTCCCGCTTGAGACTTCCTCGCAAATTACTCCGGGAGCGGCGCTCCCGCCTGGGACCTCCTTCGCAACTGAGCATCAAACTGTGTTGTTGGCCCCCCGGACTACAACAACAACGGTTCCCGCCTGATACTTCCTCCACATTTACTCAGGATCCCCGCCCCCGCCTGGGACTTCCTCGCAGTTTACTCAGGCGGAGGCGCTCCCGCTTGAGACTTCCTCGCGCATTACTCCGGGAGCGGCGCTCCCGCTTGGGACCTCCCTCACAATTGAGCCCTGCTGAATTCTCAATACTGAAGAATAATTCTTCTTGATCCCTCCTCCCTCCCTCCCCCCACTCTTTTCCTCCTCGCTCTCCCTTCCTCCTTCCCCCTGCTCTTCCTGTTTTAGGGGCTGCGCCAACTACACGTGGCGAGTAAAAAAGATATACCCCCAAAGGGGTATGACCGAAGACGAAGAGGGTGGGTATCGAGGGTTTGGGATTTACATATTGAGTGACGCGCGCGCATATAAGAGCGATCAGTCTTAAGATGATTGTTGTTGTTGTTGTTGTTGTTGTTGTTGTTGTTGTTGTTGTTGTTGTTGTTGTTGTTGTTGTTGTTGTTGTTGTTGTTGTTGTTGTTGTGGTGCGCCGCTGGATCTCCCCAAGGGGGGGGGGGGTAGAACCCCCCACCCCCCCAGCCCCCGTTCCCCGATCCTTCGTCGGGGAACCCCCCCCCCTCCCCCCCTTCCCCGATCCGTCGTCGGCGACCCCCCCCCCTCCCCCCCTTTCCCCGATCCGTCGTCAGGGACCCCCCCCGCTCCCCCCCTTTCGCCACGCCGCCCCCTGACTCCAGAACCCGACCCCCGCCACCCGTACCCCCAGTCTTCACCCTAACCCAAAGCCCCTAATCCGAACCGCAAACATTGACCCCGGCCCCAAAGAGTACTCACTATTCATTACTCACTACCCCCTACTGACTAGTCGCTATTCGCTACTCAGTTCTCAGTACCCCCTACTCACTACTCACTATCCACTATTCACGATCCACCATCCACTACTCGCTATTCACTACTCCCTACTCACTACTCCCTACTCACTATTTACTCGTCACTATTCAATATTCACTAAGCACTACTCACTACTCATTAATCACTATTCATTACCTACCCACTACCCACTATCCATTACTCACTATTCACTACTAACTACTCATTGCCCACAACTCACTATTCACTACCCACTACTCGCTACTCGCTATTCCCTACTCCCTAGACTATACTGACTACACAGTACTCAGTACTCACTACTCGCTACTCTCATACTCGCTACTCAATACTCACTCCCCGCTACTCACTATTCACTACTCACTACTTATTATTCCCTACTCACTAGTCACTACATAGTCTCTAGTCACTGGTCACAACTCACTAGTCACTAGTCATTACTCACAACCCACTACTCACCAACCGCTACCCACTACCCACTATTCGCTTCCCAGTTCTTACTATTCACTGCTCACTACTCCATACTCACTACTCACCACTCGCTATTCCCTATTCGTTACTCACTAATCACTACCCACAACTCACTACTGACTACTCTCTACTCGCTACTCACTACTCACTACGCCCTACTCGCTCCTCACTACTCACTACTCGCTACTCCCTACTCGCTACTCACTACTCACTTCCCACTGCCACTACCCACTACTCTCTACTCATCACTACTCACTACGCACTACTCAGTACTCACGACTCACTACTCACTACTCGCTACTCACTATTCAGTACTGACTACCCACTAGTCACTACTCACTAATCACTACTCGCCACCCACTACTCACTATCCAGTACTCACTACCCACTACTCATTACTCCCTACTCCCTATTCAGTACTCACTACTCGCTACTCACTACTCACTACTCGCCATTCACTACTCATTTATCAGTACGCATTACTTTTTCCACTACTCACTACTTCCCACTCCCTACTCCCTACTCCCTATTCGCCAGTCACTACCCACTACTCATTACCCAATACTCAGTGATCACTACGCAGTAACTCACTACTCACTACTTACCACTCCCTGCTCCCAACTCCGTACTCCCTACACGAGGGAGGGCTGGTCACCCCCCGCCCCTTTTCCCCCAGGCTCAGCGCCAAGGGGACGGGGGGGGGGGTGTCCGACACCCCACGCCCCCTTCAAGGAAGGGGGAGGGGGGGTCGGGACCCACCCCCCTTAAGGTAGGGAGTGGGGGGGGTTCCGGACCCCCCCCCCCTTGAAGGGGTGAGGGGGGGGGGGGTTCTCTGGACCCCCCTGGTTTAGTGGTATTCAGGGAGATCACTGCGCACTTTCGTTGTTTTGTTTCTGTGGTTGTTTTGTTGTTTGTTGTTTGTTGTTTTGTTGTTTGTTGTTTGTTGTTTGCCACCCCGACACCCGCACCCGACCGGGGACCCACCCGTGAACCACGCACGCACCTACCCGCACCCTCCCCGCGACCCACCCGCGACCACCCCGCGACCTACCTCCGCGACCCCACGCCGCGACCCACCCCCCGACCCCCTCGCGACCCACACCCGAAACCCCACCGCGACCCACACCCGCTACCCATTGCCCGCGACCCACCCCGAGACCCACCCGGGCTACCCACCCCACCCACCCGCGACCCACCCGCACCCACCCGCGACCCAACCCTCGCCCCATCCGCGACCCACCGCGGACCCACCGCAGACCCACCCGCCGACCCACCCGCGACCCACTCGCGACCGCACCCCTCGACCGCACCGCGACCCACCCGCGACCCACCCCGCGACCTACCCAAAATGTTCGGCGCTTTCGGCGGTTTTTTTTTGGATTCGTTCCAGGTGGAGAACTGGCGACCCACCCGCGACCCACCCAAAGTTTTCGGCGCCTGCGGCGGTCTTCTGTTGCATTCGTTCATGGTGGAGAACCTGCGACCCAAACTACGTTCACTGAACAAACCAAAATTTCGGCGCATGGTTCCAGGTGAAGAACCTGTGACCCAAACCTCGTTCAGTGTACAAATCAATATGTTCGGCGCCTGCGGCGGGCTGTTTTCGAATTCCTTCCAGGTGGAGGTGGAGAGCCCGCGACCCACCCGCGAACTAAAATACGTTCACTGAACAAGCCAAAAATTCGGCACCTGCGGCGGGCTGTTTTTGCATTCGTGTCGGGTGGCCCACCAGGAGGAGGAGGCGGAGGAGGAAAAGGAGAAAAAGGAGGAGGTGGAGGAGGAGGAGGCGGACGACGACGACGACGACGATGAGGACGACGATGAAGACGAGGACGCGGACGAGGAACAGGAGGAGCAGGAGGAGGAGGAGGAGGAGGAGGAGGAGGAGGAGGAGGATGAGGATGATGATGATGATGATGATGATGAGGAGGAGGAGGAGGAGGAGGAGGAGGAGGAGGAGGAAGAGGATGATGATGAAGAGGAGGAGGAGGAGGAGGAGGAGGAGGAGGAGGAGGAGGGCGCCATCGACAGGGAAGGTGAGGGCCACGAGGTCCGCTGGCTCGACGCCCGCGTCGCCCGCGCCCGCCCCCTCACTCTTATCCGCACGTGCGGGGCGCTACGTATTATTCTGCTTCTCTGCCAGGAACGAGTGCGAGGACCTCATGGACCAGCTTGAGGTGGACGTGGCCGCGCCCGAGGCGGAACCCAAAAGGCTGGCAGAACTCGTGGCGGCCATGCCGTCGGACACGGTGGCGGCGCCGCGGAACTTGTCGGCCGCGCTGCTGTCGCGCCTCGAGGAGGTCGCGGCCAGCAACGGGGGCAAGGCTGAACAGAGGGAAACCGGCCCCAGCCGCCCAAACTGTATCTTTTAGATGTCAACGGTTTGCAATGATGGCGCACGTGCGCAAGTGTAGGCGCCCTCTAAGCGATGCCATTGCCGTCTACTCGGCCTGAAGTTCCTCCTGTGGGGGGCGGGGGGCGCTTTCCATGCGCTCAAAGGTGCCCCTCCACGGGCGGCTGTTCGCGCAGTGGATGCACCACGCGTTCCCGCGAGAGTGCCCCTACCCGCACGAGCACGGGACGACGAGCCCGCAGACCCCCGACGAGTGGATGCGGGAGACGGGCGAGGCGACCGACAAGATGACCGAGAGCGAGCTGCTGAGGGAGGTGGTCCTCCTCCTCCTCCTCCTCCTCCTCCTCCTCCTCCTCCTCCTCCTCCTCCTCCTCCGGGCGGGGCTGGAACAGGATGCAGTCAACCCGCACGGTAAGGATAGGGTGGGCCAGCTTCCCAGACATGCCCTTGCATCCTGGCCTCCGCGGTCCCTCCTTGGCCACGTTCGTCGGCCGCGCCCCGCTCGAGAGGCTTCGACATGGGGGTCCCAAGGCCCTCGCATCCTTCGCGCGCATCCTTCTGAACGCTACGGGCCGACCGTAAATCGTTCCAGGGCATCCCAGAACGCTTTGCAGAGGGCGCTCTGGAGCGCTCTGCCTCGACTTGGGAATCGCCGCACTTGGGTCGATTTCCCGACGTCTCACCCCCAATCTCAGAGGACGCACGGGTACCAACGCCGGTCGTTGAAAGTAGGTATTTTTGGATTCCCAGATCCCAATCTACTTCAAGCGCCTTCCCACTTCAAGAACCGGCATGCTTTTGCTGTGTCGTGTTATTCTTTGGGGGGACCTGGACCCAATCTATCGGGAAAAGTAGAAAGGGTCCTATGCGTGCATGGGTCCTTTGGAAAGTACTGAAACACGAGCGGCCGAGGGTCGCCGCGGGACGGGCCGGGTGGCTGCCGCGCATGCGCGCGCGTCTCTGCCCCCCCCCGCGTTCGCTCCCCCCCGCGCCCCATTTCCCCGCGTCCCCGGGGGGGGGGCTCGCTCAGAAGTACGGCGCGGCTCTTTCGAAGGGGTCTACTCAAAAGTATAATTTGGGGAAGTCACGGGCGGATCGTACTTTTGAGCGCATTTCTCAAAAGTACAATCGGGAAGTTGTACTTTCGAATGGGGGGGGGAGGGGCTCAAAAGCAGAACCGGGGGCCGATGGCCCGGGCCGTCGGACGCGTCGGGCGCGGGCGTCGCCGCGCGGCCATTCCGGCGAGCCCACGGGCGATGCGCCCAAAAGCGCCCAAAAGTACACCCAAAAGTACACTTAAAAGGCTCATGAGACCCTTTCTTCTTTCCCTTAAAGCATATTGCGACAGCCGCCCTTGATGCCCTTGATGCCGCCCTTGATGCCTTTGGAGGTTGCGGGGGGGGCAGGGACATTGGTTGATGAGTCGTTAAACGGTAGATTGAACAGGTCGACTTGGCCTCGTTTTGGTTCTATGGGCGTCTTCTTGGGGTCTTTTGCGACAGATGTTGACATGCCACGGTTATGCCATCGGGGAGGGCGAGGGGGAGGGGAGGGTGGGGGGGAGGGGAGGAGGGGAGGGAGGGGGGGAGGCGGTGGAGCGGTGGAAGGGGGGAAGGTGCGGGTGTGGGGGACGGAGGTGGAGGGGGTGCGGGGTGGGGGAGGGAGGGGGGGTGAGAGGGGGGGCGGTGGGGTAGGGGGCGGGGGGAGAGATGGGGGAGCGGCGGGGGGCGGGGCGGCGGTGGGGAGGGCGGGGGGGGGCGCGGGGTAGGCATCCGTCCCAACCCTGACCGTCATATCTGACGTCCTACCCCTCCCTCACATCCCTTACCATGGCGCTGATTTTCTCTATCCGCGGACGCGTGTCGTAGCGGACCTGTGGCTCCGCGCGCGCGTGCGTAACTAGTGGGTGGTGGTGCGCGTGCGTGCGTGCGTGCGTGTGTGCGTGGGTGTGGTGGTGGTGGTGGTGGTGGTGGTGGTGGTGGTGGTGGTGGTGGTGGTGGTGGTGGTGATGGTGGTGGTGGTGGTGCTGGTGGTGGTGGTGGTGCTGCTGGTGGTGGTGGTGGTGGTGGTGGTACTGGTGCTGGTGCTGGTGGTGGTTGTGGTGGTGGTGGTGGTGGTGGTGGTGGTGGTGGTGGTGGTGGTGGTGGTGGCGGTGCGGCGCGGTGGTGGCGGGCGGATGGGCGCGCGAGAAAAAGGCCCGCGCTGGGGCGAGAACGCCATCCTGGACGACGGAGGCCTAACACCGATCCGAAAATGAGGCCCACGCTGCAGCGGGAGCACGATTCGGAACGATTCGGGAGCAGAAATGAGGCCGGCGCCTCAACGAGAGCAGCATTTTGGGAAAAAATGACGGCGGCGCCTCAGCGAGAGTCGTTTCCCGGGATTTCCCGGGCATCCTGTGTGTAAAAAAACAATACGCGGAGGGTGCGCGGCTATCACCCGGACGCCATCAGGGGAAGGATTCGGGAGCAGAAATGAGGCCGGCGCCTCAACGAAAGCAGCATTTTGGGAAAAAATGACGCCGGCGCGAGAGCAGCATTTTGGGAAAAAATGACGCCGGCGCCTCAGCGAGAGTCGTTTCCCGGGATTTCCCGGGCATCCTGTGTGTAAAAAAACAATACGCGGAGGGTGCGCGGCCATCACCCGGACGCCATCAGGGGAAGAAAATGACGCCGGCGCCATTTTTCTTCTCTTTTTTTCAGCGAAGAGTCGTTTACCGGGATTTCCCGGACCTGTGTGTAAAAAAAACAGTACGCGGAGGAGTTGCGCGGCCATTCACCCGGACGCCATCAGGGGAAGAGGGACTGTGAGTATATTCCTATTGAGTAATGTGGAGGAGGCGGCGGATGGCGAGGGGGAGGGGAGGGGGAGGAAAAGGAGGAGGTAGAGGAGGAGGAGGAGGAGGAGGAAGAGGAGGAGGAGGAGGAGGAGGAGGAGGAGAGGAGGAAGAGGAGGAGGAGAAGAAGGAGGAAAGGCGGAGGGGAGGAGGAAGCGGAGGAGGAGGAGGAGGAGACGCCTGGCTTTGAGGTATGTTGCTGTGAGAGGCTATTGAAGGACGACGAAGGCCATCTGAGAGGCGCTCTTAGGGCCCCCGTGGGGCCTTTTGGCGCCCTGTTGGGGGCTCTTTGTTGGAGTCTTGTGGCCCTCTTGGGGCTCCTTGGAGGGTCTGGGAGGCCTCTTGGGACATCTTGGCCCCGATGAGTGACAAAGGGGGGGATCTTCAATTCAGGTCCCCCCCTCCCCCCAGAGGCTCGAACAGTTTGTCTCGGGGCCCCTTAGGGGAGCTCTTGGGGCGTTCTTGGGCGTCCTTGTGGCCCTCTCGGGGCCCCCTCTTGGGCACCTCTTGGGGCTCTCTGGGGCTGTCTTGGGGCCATCTTGAGGCCTGCGAGGCCCATCGGAAGCGAAAGGGTGAGACGGCAAGCATCATACATTTGGCCTCGGTTTCGGAGCCGTTGTTGCCTCTTGGGGGGGTCCTTGGAGGGCTCTGAGGGCACTTGATACCGTTTTGTGGCCGTCTTGAGGCCTTTCGGATGTGCGTCGGAGGCTATCTTGAGCCATCTTGGAGGCCATCTTGGGGTCTCTAGGGCCCTCCTGGAGCCATACTGGGCGATCTTGGGGGCTGCAGCGTCTCGCGCCCCCCCCTCCCATGCCCAGGGGAGGGGTAGGGACAGGGGTAAACCCTTCCCCGCGCAGGGGAAGGATGGGTTTTGAGAGAGAGAGAGAGAGAGAGAGAGAGAGAAAAAGAAGAAAAAGGACGAGAAAGATAAAGAGAAAGGGAAAGAGAAGAGACACAATCCGTTAAACCACCTACGCCCAGAGGGCTGGTGGGATTCGTGAAGCTTCATGCATCCCGGTTCAGGCATCCCGGTTCAAGCAGACTTGGTGCAGCTTCCATTTTGCCCGTAATCAAATCACACACACACACGCGAAAACACTTGGCTTGTGGGTCCGTTCTTTCTGTTCCGTGGGATGGCGGTCCAGAAGGCGCCTTGGACCGTGTGGTCCGTGGTTGCAGTCGTCCTCAGCATCAGCGCACCCACTGTGACCTCGATCGGTGTGAGTTCCAAGCCGGAGTGTGCAGATGACGACGCCCAAATTATTGCTCTCGGCAAGCGGCATCGGCGTCAAGATCGGAGGTTGTGCTGAGGTGCAGGCTTATTGCGAAGATGCGGCGTATGGCAGCACTGTGCAGGCGACCTGTCCTGCAACGTGTGGCCTCTGCAGGATGGCCAGCCCCAGCAGCTCCCAGGCGGCTAAGGTGCTGATGGACAGGAGCTCCAGGGGCTCCCGGGACGCAGATGATCAACAGTCCTTGGACAGGGCTCTGGCGGCGAAAGGGCCCGACCCGACGCCGAGGCCGACGCCGTGGCCGACGCCGTGGCCGACGCGGTACCCGACGCCGAGGCCGACGTCGTGGCCGACGCCGTGGCCGACGCGGTACCCGACGCCGAGGCCGACGCCGTGGCCGACGCCGAGGCCGACGCCGTATCCGACGCCGAAGCCGACGCCGAACCCAACGCCGAACCCGACGCCGTACCCGACGCCGAAGCCGACGCCGAACCCGACGCCGAACCCCACGCCGTACCCGACGCCGATGCCGACGCCGAACCCGACGCCGAACCCGACGCCGTACCCGACGCCGAAGCCCACGCCGAACCCGACGCCGAACCCGACGCCGTACCCGACGCCGAACCCGACGCCGAACCCGACGCCGTACCCGACGCCGTACCCCACGGCCTTCCCGACGCCGTACCCGACGTCGTACCCGACGCCGTACCCCACGGCCTTCCCGACGCCGTACCCCACGGCGTTCCCGACGCCGTACCCGACGGCCTTCCCGACGCCGTACCCGACAGCCTTCCCGACGGCCTACCCAACAGCTTTCCCGACGCCCTACCCGACGCCGTTCCCGACCCCTAGCCCGACGCCCAGCCCGACATATCCTTTGGGTTGGCCGACGCCACAACCAACGTTTCTTCCCGCAGCTCCTATGCCGGGTGGAGCTGCCGGAGGCGTGGCTGCCACCGGCGATCCCCACCTTCAGAATGTTCACGGTGAGCGGTTCGATTTAATGCAGGCGGGCAAACATGTTCTGATAAACATCCCTCGTGGAGTGAGCGCTGAAGATGCATTGCTTCGTGTGCAGGCCGATGCGCGCCGCCTGGGTGGAAGTTGTTCGGATATGTACTTCCAAGAACTGAACATTACAGGCTCTTGGGCAGAGGCTAAGCAAGTTGGAGGGTACCACTACGGCGTACGGCAAAGCGTTTGGACGAGTCCGCAATGGGTTGCTATTGGCCGGGTAGAGCTGAAAGTCGTCCATGGACGCACACAGAGTGGCATCCTGTATTTGAATGTGTTTGTGAAGCATTTAGGACAATCAGGGTTTGCCGTCGGAGGTTTGCTGGGGGAAGACGACCACAAGGACGCGATGACTCCCCCGGCGTCTTGTGCCAAACACATTCCTTTGCTAGAAGCAGTGACGAGTGGCCAGGTTCCTTCCTCCGAGTCGTCGGTTGCAGCAGCAACCTTCGCGTGACCATGCTGGATACTTTGAAATGTGGGTATATGACAACTACGCCCATTTGGGTGACGCATGCGGTAGTGTTTTCCTGCTCCATAGAAAAAGAAATAAGAACCCTTAAGTGCAAGCACTGCTTAGGGAAGAGGCCTCTAAAACAGTTCGTGGATGCAGGACATGACCCCTGGTGCCATCTAAGAGCGTGATGGAAGTGTGGCTTCAGACCCACGCCCCTTCGGAAAAGTCACGTGGCATCCTACTTCCCCAAGCTTCAGTCCTCTCTGCCCTTCCTTCGCCCCCCCTCCCTCCTTTCAGGAGGTACGTAAGGCCGATTGCCCAGAGAGGGCGCCTCATCTGTCCTCATTGGTTTTGCGGTCCGCATGCGCACATGCCTCACGTGAAGGCTCTTCCCGTTTTGGCCTGGTGAGGTTGTTCTGCCGCCCTCGATGAGGCCGCCACAGGACCCGCGCTGGAGCAGAAGGTGCAGGCAAGAATATTGCATTGCATACGTGGCGTTGTCGCGGCGGCGGTGGTCCTTCCGCCGTTCGGAGACACGGCGCCAATACAATGCCCCTTTTCGGCAGCCGCACCCCCCACTCCAAGGATGCCTTAGCCCTGGCCTTGCCACTCCACTCCCGTGCTGTCGGAGATTTGGGGCGAGCCCGAAGTGCAACGTGAGATGCACCAACCGGGACATCGTTTCGTTTCGTGCGTGACGTGCGTGTGTTACGGTATAACCGGGGCAGTGGGTGTGGACATCCGAAGCGCAGTGTGTTCGGCCAGCCACTGCACCACATAGTGCAACCATCGCTCACACAAATCCTCCTGTTATTCGGCATTGGACCATGTGGCGGCGTAGGGAGAAAACCTTTCCGAGCCTGTAGTTAGAGGCTGGGGCCAAGTCAGACAAATGAGTCGCCCCACGCGGCGGCCGTGGTGTGAAAGTTGTCCCGCTGGTTGTCCGGATGGTTATCCCGACAGTTGTCCAGACGGTTGTCCCCCCGATAGTTGTCCCCCCGATGGTTGTCCCGATGGTTGCCCCGATGATTTTCCCGATGGTTGTCCCGATGGTTGTCCCGACGCTTGTCCCAGCAGTGTTTCCGATGGTTGTTCCGATGGTTGCCGCGATGGTTGTCCCGATGGTCGCCCCGATGGTTATCTCGATGGTTGCCCCCGTGGTTGTCCCGCTGGTTTTCCCGATGGGCGTTCTGGTGGTCCTGTGGCCCAATGGTTGTCCCCGATGCTTGTGCCTATGGTTGTCCCGATAGGCGTCTTCATGGTTGTCCCGATGGTTGCCCTGATGGTTTCCCAACCCTCCTGTGTTGGGTTCTCGTTTCGGATACAGCAGTGCTGTCGCGACCTCCTCCTTCCTCTCTGCTCCTGCTTCCTCCCCGCCTTTTGCTTCCTACCTCGCCGTCCTGTCTGGGGGCTCGCCGGTGCAGTCGGCGTAGTTCAATTTATGTGGTGCACTCTATGTGGTGTTAGCTACGTGGTGCAATCTATGTGGTGCAATCTCTGTGGCGCAGTCTATGAGGTGCAATTGAATTTTTACCCATGATGTGACACATCCCACGCTCTTGCAAACATCCCACCCACCCACCCGCAACTTGGTTTGCAAAACCTCTTAAGACCGACTACGACGACACCGACGACAACGACTACGACGACACCGACGACGTCTCCGACGACTTCGACGACGACAACGACGCCGACGACGACGAAGACGACGACGACGCCAACGAAGACGACGACGAGGGAGGAGGAAGGACGACGACGGCGACAACGACGACAACGACGACAACGACGAGGGAGGAGGGAGGACGGCGACGACGCGAACGACGAAGAAGGAGGAAGGACGGCGACGCCGACGACGACAACGACGAGGGAGGAGGGAACGACGACGACAACGACGAACGACGACGACGACGGCGACGAAATAGGAGGGACGACGACGAGACGCCGACGACGGACGACGACGACGACGAGGGAGGAGGAGGAAGGACGACCACGGCGACAACGACGACGGAAACGACCACGACGCCAAAGAGGACGACGACGACGAACACGAGGAAAGACAGAGGACGACGTAGGCGACGACGACGCCGACGACGCGGGAGGAGGGAGGACGGCGACGACGACGACGACGACGCAAGAGCGCGCGCGCACGTTTTTGTTGAAAATCCGTGTTGCGAAACCTTGTAGGTTTTTGGGACACGCGGTTTTGAAATCCTTCCGAAACCGATGGGTTTTGAAGGTTTTCGGCATACGCGCGCGACGACGTGCGCGTCTGCACTTCGTCCCTTTTTTTGCAGAGGATTCTCGCGACGGCACACGCGCAAAGGCGTTCGACAGATTTCGACATGCGCGCGCGCGAAGCCCGTCTGGTAGTGTTTTGTGAAAATCTTGAAAAGCCTATGGTTTTCTTAAGATTTCGCCAGAGCTCGCGCGTAAGCTTTTTTAGCAAATTAGTGTTGCGAAACCCTGTGTGTTTTTGTATGGTTTTTTGGAAGCTCGATTGCGAAATCCTTCTGGCACCGAAGGTTTTTGAAGGATTTCGGCAGGCGCGCGCGACGACGCGCGCGTGTGCACTTCGTCAACTTTTTTGCAAGGGATTTGTGACAAAGTGTTATGTTATAATTACAAATGGCACCGCACAGTGTTTTTTACAAGGGAACCTCAGGGGGGGAACCCGGTTGGCCTGGGTCATTGTGATTTCATATCTAGGATGGACATGTGGTCATAATCATAAGTAATTTAAATACCCGAAAGGGGTAGCGATAACTCTTGGCTGGGGGGGGGTAGAGTCTATTCTCTTTGAAAGGAGAATCGACTACCCTGCACCGCGCCTGACCACCTCCACTGCTCGCGCAAGCATCCCACCCACCCACCCGCAACTTGGTTTGCAAAATCTCTTCGTGGTGTAAGCTATGTGGTGCAGCTATGGTGGAACTATGCAAGCTTCGTGGTGTTAGGTGGTCGTCTAGGTGGTACGACTTTCGTGGTGTAAGCTATGTGGTGCAATGGACTACTCTGCGCCGCGCTTGACCGCCTCCACTGCTCGTGCAAGCATCCCACCCACCCACCCGCAACTTGGTTTGCAACATCTCTTAAGACCGTGGCGGTGGGTACCAAATGGCACTTGGCAACGACAGCGACGCCGACGACGCCAGCGACAACGACGACGCCGCCGACAACGACTACGACGACACCGACGACGTCTCCAACGACTGCGACGACGCCGACAATGACGACGACGACGACACCGACGACGACGCCGACGCCGACGACGACGACGACGATGACAACGACGATGACGACGCCGCCGACAACGACTACGACAACACCGACGACGTCTCCAACGACTGCGACGACGCCGACAACGACGACGACGACGACGACACCGACGACGACGATGCCGACGCCGACGAAGACGACGACGACGATGACAACGACGACGACGATGACGACGCTGACGTCGAAGACAACGACGACACCGACGACGACGACGACGACGACGTCAACGACACCGACGACGACGACGACGACGACGACGACGGCGGCAACGACGACGACGCAAGAGCGCGCGCGCGCACGTTTTTGTTGAAAATCCGTGTTGCGAAACCTTGTGTTTTTTGTAGGTTTTTTGGACACACGATTTTGAAATCCTTCCGAAACCGATGGGCTTGAAGGATTTCGGCATACGCGCGCGACGACGCGCGCGTCTGCACTTCGTCCCATTTTTTGCTGAGGATTCGCGCGACGGCACACGCGCAAGGGCGTGCGACAGATTTCGACATGCGCGCGCGCGAAGCCCGTCTGGTAGTGTTTTGTGAAAATATTGAAAAGCCTATGGTTTTCTTAACATTTCGTGAGAGGTCGCGCGTAAGCTTTTTTAGCAAATCAGTGTTGCGAAACCCTGTGTGTTTTTGTATGTCTATTGGAAGCTCGATTGCGACATCCTTCCGGCACCGAGGGTTTTTGAAGGATTTCGGCAGGCGCGCGCGACGACGCGCGCGTGTGCATGTCGTCAACTTTTTTGCAAAGGATTCGTGAATGTGTGCGCGCATAGTATCTTTTGCAGAGGATGGCGGGGGGGGGCCGATACCGGTTCCCCTGGGATTGTGCACGCCCCCCACGCCCCGTTCTCGGCCCTCCTGGAACTCTACTGGCGCAGCCCCGTCTTCCAGAGCTCCGCCCCGGCTTGCCCCTGGCTTCTAGACTTTTAGGGGCGCCCTTGTCTTCTAGAATTTTACCGGCGCCTCCCTTCCGTGGTCGGTCGGTCCGTTGGTCGGTCGTCGTCGTCGGTTGGGTTCGTCGTCGGTCGTCGGTGGTCGTCGGTCGTCGTCGCCGGTCGGTCGGTCGGTCGGTCCGTGCCCGCTGTGTGGTCGATCGGTCGCGGGGCGATCGGTCGGTCGGTCGTCGGTCGTCCGTCCTCGATCGTCGGTCGTCGGGCGATCGGTCTCTCGTCGGTCGTCGGTCGTCAAAGTCGTCGGTCGTCGGTTGTTCCGTCGGCGGGCGTCGGTGGGTTGGTCGTCGGTCGTCGGTCATCGGTCGTCGGTCGTCGGTCGACCGGTCGGTCGGTCGTAGGTCGGTCGGTCGTCGATCGTCGGTCGTCGGTCGTCGGTCGTCGGTCGTCGTCGGTCGTCGGTCGTCGGCCGTCGGACTCGGTCGTCGGTCGTCGGTCGTCCGCTCTCGGTCCTCGTCGGTCGTCGTCGCTCGGTCTTCGGTCTTCGGTCGTCGGTCGTCGGTCGTCGGTCGTCGTCGGTCGGTTGTTACATGTTCGTCGGTCGTCACTCGTCGGTCGATCTGTCGGTCGGTCGCCGGTCGTTCGGTTGTCGGTCGTCGGTCGTCGTTCGTCGTTCGGTCGCCGGTCGGTTGTCGGTCGTCGGTCGTCGTTCGTCGGTCGGTCGCCGGTCGGTTGTCGGTCGTCGGTTGTCCGTCGCATGTCGTCGGTCGTCGGTTGTCCTTGCTCGGTTGTCGGTCGTCGGTCGTCGGTCGTCGGTTGTCGGTTGTCGGTCGTCGGTCATCGGTCGTCGGTCGGTCGGTTGGTCGTCGGTCGTCGGCCGTCGGTCGTCGGTCGTCGGTCGACCAGTCGATGGAACTCCGGCCAATA